TCTTAAGCTTTGTTGTACACACAGAATTGAGTCAGTTATCACCAGAAAACAGAAAACTTTTTTTTCCCAAATCATGCAGTGCCTAAATATGCCTAAAATAAATTACTCGAGGTCAGACTCTTGACTTTTGAGCCAACACCAGCTACTGAGTCATGTTGAACGGAGGTCAGACTCTCACAGTTTGAGCCAATACCAGCTGAGTCATGTTGAACAGAGTTACTGTCTTGCCTCCCACAGATTGTGACTGCCTCTCATCCCATTGCCAGGAGCTTGATATCACACTCGGTTGAGACTGGCTTATAGATACACAGGGGGAGAGGAAGGTTTGGGTTCAGTAAATTTGTCCTTGCCAGGCTAACAACCTTTGATTAAAAAATGATAATTCTCACACTGTCTCACAAGGCTTCACCCCCTAAAAGTTCCATAATCTCCCAGAGCAGTGCTACCAACTGGGGATCAAGTGTTTAAATATATGAGCATTTCTCATTCAAACCACAATAGCAAAGTGCACCTCTTTAATGAAAGACACCTCTGGATGTATCTGTGAGGGCATTCCAGAGAAAATTACACCATGAGCATTGTTAAATCTGTTGAAAAATGTAAATTTGAATCATCTATTGGCTGGATGTAGAACTGTGGAAGGTGGAAACTTGCTATTGTGGGTGGGGGCTGGGACTGCCTTTAAGTGTCTTGGCCATGGCCCCTTCCTATTTCCTCTTTCTGGTTTCTGGCTGTAGTGAGGTAAGCAACCTCTTCTGCTACTCACTTGTTGCCATGATACTCTGCCATGGCAACGGAGCCAGGAGACTGGAACTATGAGCCAAAACTAACCTTTTCTCCTTTAAGTAATGAACAGATGGACTGACTCACATGCAGAGGAACCCCACATGCAGGGGTCCTAAGGAGGAGCTCAGGGAATGTGGTCAGGGCCACGAAAGAAGCCAGGTAATGCTGTAGACAGGTGTGAGCGCCCATCAGACCTTCCTCAAGGCTTGTAGGGCTTGGCTGGAGATAACACCAAGTTTCATTCATTCAGTGATCTTGGTCACTCCTCCAGAGGGTGGCTAGTAAGAGGAACAAAGAAAAGAAAAAGGTCCAAGGTCCAGAACAGAGAGCTGTAGCACCACAGAGTAAGGCCCCTCATTTTCAGGCAGTAGCATCTAATAAACTTCAAATGATGTTGTTATCCATGGAGACAGTGTATTCAGTCCTGTTCTTGCATATAAACACATATAGACACACACAAAAAACTAATTATTAAAATAAGAAAGTTCCACTTTATTTAAATAGTACAGAATCATTTGTTCCTGCTAAGATTAACAACAATAATAAAAGTCACTAGCTCATAGTCTGAGAAAGGAAAATGAACCATATGACTGGGTACCAGCAGGAAGGGGGATTCATAATAAAGGTACCATGGGATGCTCAAGGTAAATCAACATGCTATTGTGCAGTGGGTCCATTCATCCCACAATCCATTCCTGGAGACAATACTCTTATTCTGGAAGGAGTAAAGCTACTGGGGATATCACTGGCACCTTTGTCGTATGGGACTGTCCTATATACTGTAGGATGTTTATATCCTTGACCCTACTCAGTATCATGGTTAAATGTAATATGGCTAAATATACTTAAATAGTATAGATATAATCATTTAATATAAGTAGCATTTTATAATTACTTCCCAGACTCTTTGCAGAACAGATATTACTGCTCCTGATTGAGAGCCCTATAAATCTGTGCTACGTTCACAAGTAGACTGAGGTGGTGTTTGAACATAAGGGTAAAGGTACAGCAATGAGCGGAGCTATGAAGAGCCCTGTCCCACACACAGGGCATCAGGAGAGGAGAAGTAAGAGCTTCACTTGCTGCTGAGGAATCAGCAGGCGATAGAAGCTGCATGATGAGAGAGAAGGGTGTGTGTTTGCAGCAAAACACAACTAAAAGAGAATCAGAGACTGGACAGCCTGGAGGCAGCATTCACAGAACTGAATATACTCAGGCCATATGTCTTTGTTCCTTTGCGAGAGGAGGGTTGTTTCTTTTAAGATAAATTGCAGTCTGCTTGACATTTGCATAAAAACACAGGAGACGAGCCAGTTTTTAGGCTCTTTTGTAGACACCTCATAGAACCAGGCTGGAGAGATGGCTCAGCGGTTAAGAGCACTGGCTGCTCTTGCAGAGGACCCAGGTTCAGTTCCCAGCACCTATATGCTGGTTAATAATCATTGGTAACTCCAGATCCAGGTTTTTCAATGCCTTCTGACCTCATCAGGCACCAAACACCCACAAGTAAGCAGACGGTATATGCAAACAAAACACCCTTACGTGTAACTAATAGTAAAATGAAATGCACATGAAAGCATGAGCCCTGTGTGTCTGGGTATATTGGGCAGCTGTTGAAAGGACATGCCATGTTCTTGGGGCTCTGGGTATGAACCCTCAGGTGGGAAGTTTCAGGCGTTTCTCAGCTTCCCCAGTGTCCTCTGGGACTCTCCTTGCTCTGCCATCCTTCCCACCAACACTTTCTGCATCTTCTGCCTTCCCAGTGAGCAGCCAGATGATCTGTAGGAGAAAACATCAAGAGACTCCTCATTCTGCCATTGTGGCACCCACCTCTCCCTTCTCTAGTTTTTAATAGAAGAACCATCTATAGGACATTTACTTGCTAATATCTGGGCTTTTTTTTTATTTGTTTAAAGTAGGAAGTGTTAGCAGTTCCTCCTCAAGGTTTGCTTTAAAACTTTTTTGTCACAGTCTAAAACTCAAAGCCAGCAAATACAATGCAAAGAACTTTTGCAATGCATTGTTTATGTTGGGTGGTTCTTACTTGTTTTATTTTTGTTGTTATTATTGTTGTTGTTTTGGTTTTTCTAAGATGGGGTTTCTCATGTTCCAGGCTGACCTCAAGCCAGCTCTGAAGCTGAGGATGACCTTGAACTTCTGATCTTCCTGCCTCCACCTCTAAATTCTGGCGTTACATGGGTGTACCATCAGACTAGGGTAGTGGAGGACAGAACCCAGGCTTTGTACATGCTAGGCAAGCACTCTAACAACTAAGCCACATCCCTAGCCTTGATGAATTATTTGAGAGTAAACTCTAACCTGATGCCCATCACTCCTAATTATTCTACAAACCAAGACATTCTCCTACATGATAAAATCAAGCTGTCATTATCAGGAAGTTGGCAGCCATACTGTAACAACCATCTAAACAACATCCCTCATTCACAAAGCTCCAGTTGTCCCATAATGTGCATTATGTCCCAAAGATCCAGTTCTAAGTCTCCTGTGCTGTTAGTTGGCTCATCTCCTTTTCATCTGTAGATAGCAGTCTTTTGTTGGTTCACATGAACTTGGCACTTACAAAGAATACAAGCTGTGTTCCTCTGATATCTGGACTAGAAAGGCCAGCAGCTGCCTCTCTCCTTTTCCCAGATAAGGTTTCTGGGAGGAACTCAGGGAGGATGACTGGCCAAAGCTCTGGCCCTAGCAGAGGGAAGGGACATTTCCTTAGCTTTCTATTTTTGTCTTCCTCCCTGTCTCCCTCCCTCCTTTCCCTGTGATTAAGGAGTACAGGATATAGAGAGTCATTTGTGCATAATCTTTCCCTGAATTCACTAATAGGAAAGAAAACTTGTAACTAAGCCTGACAACCTGGGTTCAGTCCCTAGGTCCCACATGGTAGAAGGAAAAAAACTGACTTCTGTGGGTTGTCCTCTGACCTCCACATGCATGTGCATGTACACACACACACACACACACACACACACCCAATGGCTACTATATAAACATTTATAAAAGAACAAATGAATGGTGAAATATATTTTTAAATAAATGCATAGACAACATCTAATATTGAAATTAATAGCTGGTAATGTCAAAGTAGTGTGTCTTGCCCTGTTCAGGTTGATAGGAAATGCCATAATTTGGTGAATTAAACACTTGTACTGGGGGCTGAGAGTCCATGGTCTTCAGCAGCCCCCACTCCCTTATCCAATGCTGTTCTTTATGAACTGTATTCATCATAGAAGGAAATGCTAAATTTCAGGTGGAAGGTCATCATGATAGGATTTTTTTTTTCAGTCTCCATGAGTCTATATACAGGAACCCTAGGCTAAGAACTCTTGATCCAAGCTAGGTAGATGGCTCAGCAGTTAGGAGCACTGACTGGTTTTCCAGAGGACTCAGGATCAGTTTTCAGCACCCACATGGCAGCTCATAACCATCTGTAACTCTGTGTCTTAGTTAGGGTTTCTATTGCTGTGAAGAGACACCATGGCTTATAAAGGAAAACATTTAACTGGGACTGGCTTACAAGTTCTGAGATTTGGTCCATTATCATCATGGTGGGAAGCATGGTGGCACACAGACAGGCATGACACCAGAGAGGAAGCTCAGAGTTCTGCATCTGGATCAGCTGGCTTGAGCATCAGAAACCTCAAAGCCTGCTCCCAGGGACACACTTCCTCCAGCAAGGCCACACCTCCTAATAGTGCCACTCCCTATGAATCTACAGGGGCCATTTTCATTCAAACTACCACACTGCAGACCTGGGGATCTGATACCCTCCTCTGGCCTCATTAGGCATGCTGGTGGTGCACAGGCAAACATGCAGGCAAAACCCCCTTACACATAAAAGAAAAAAGAAAAAGAAGGGACTCCCAGTCTTCGTGTGGTGTAACCTGAGGACTATGGGAAAGTAGAGTGTTGAGCTGAAGAGAGGCTATTGTGCTGTTGGTTTGCTTTCTGGTCTTAAAATTTTTCCTTTATTGTGTGTGTGCATGATGTTGTAGGAAGGACATGCCACCATGTGTGTGCGGCGGTCAGAGGACAACTTGCAGGAGTCAGTTCTCTCCTTCCATCTGGACTGTGGTTCTGGGGAGCCACCTCAGGTCAATTGGGTAGCAAAACCCTTTACCCACTGAGCCACCTCACCAGCCCAGTTTCTGATGGTTTTGACTGCCTGTTTGAGTATTGAATTATGTTTTGTCTTGCAGATAGCAGCTCTCTAAACACTGAGCAAAAGGAGGGCTCCTGGGACTCTGAGAACTTCTGGCTTGATCCTTCTGTGACAGGCCAGCTGGAGACCAGTGAAGAGGAGGATGGACTTCGGAAATCGCTGGACAGATTCTACGAAGCATTTGCCTATCCACTGCCAGGCTCCGGAGATCAGCTCTCTGTCCCTGTGTGTCAGTGCCTGTCTCAGACAATCTCTGAACTCCAGGGCCAGGAGAGCCAAGAGTACGCTCTCCGAAGTTTCCAGATGGCACGAGTCATCTTCAACCGGGATGGCTGCTCTATCTTGCAGAGGCATTCCAGGGAAACCCGATTCTACCCTCTGGAGCAAGGAAGCAACTCTCTGGAGGATGTTGAGCTCACCCCAGGGCTGTCAAGAGAGATCATTCGTTTCCTCTTGGAGCAGCCTGTAATGAAAGACTCCTAGCTGGTGCTGATGTAATGTGAAAGTCGGCAAGGCTGGAGGGGGATGTGCTGCAGCTTGGCCCTCAGAGTCCCTGGGGGGGGGGGAGGGTTGTCTCTGGATAGCTTACTGTGTCCATCGGGGTTAGCTACAAGCTGTACAGGTAAAGGCTGGCACCAGCAACCTGGTTATGGAGCCAGTTAGACTATAGGTGTGCCACCCCACCACTTGCCTTGGCCAAGGCTGCCACTGACTCAACTAGGGTTGAGCCCAGCTTCCTTGCCTGTGTTCCAGAGTGCTCTCCTGGGGTCCAGGCCAGGGCTGGGACTTTGGCAGGAAATCACTTCCTTGCTTGGTTCACACATAAAAGGGCTTCTTCAGCCCCATTAGATTGCAGTAGGGAAGACAAGGAGACAGCGCTGGACCACCCACCAGGTCTGAGGTGTAAGGGTGGAACTATGTGACCTTGCCGATTTGTGCTTAAGGGGATAAGGAATGCTTTGCCTAGGCACCTTTCCCCTCTCCTGTTATTTTTGCCTTCTGTCCACTGCCAGCACTCTCTGTCATCCTCTGAAGGGTTGCCCCTCATTCCTGCCCTGATCTTGCCTCAAGCACCCTGAGCTCCAGTGCAAATGCTTGCCCAGAGCAGGGCTTTGCTGTCACCTGTGCCTGTCCTCCAGGCAGGTGCACAGCCTGACAGGGAGCTCTTTAAATAGCTAGTTCAGGCTTGCACTGGCAGATGCTCCTCTCTGCGGGTTGCGTCCTGAGCCCCGGTTTGAGAATTACGTCAGCTGGCACCAGGAACTCTGAAACAGTAATTGGAAGCCTCATAGAGTTCTTCAAGCAAATTACATCAGTAGAGAGGCTTATTTCCCTCGTTTGGAGTAATAGCAAAAGCTGGCAACTCTGTGCACTTAGATTTTGAGAAACTTGAGGTGAAGTTTAATTGGCATGAGACTCCAAAGCTTTTCAGAAAGTGGATTATGCAAATGGGGCAGCCAACAAGTGCACACTAAAAGTCAGTACATTGCAGTCTCTTGGGGACTCTTGAATGGAAAGAAGCATAAAAAGAAGTAGTGGTGTAAACAGGCTTCCAGTTCAGGGAGGGTCTTCCACATGAAAATGCCGAGGCACACGTGGAGGGGGTTCTACATGTGTGAGCAGGCTTCCAGTTCAGGGAAGGTCCAAGGTGAGACACTTCCACATGGAAATGTGGAGGCACACATAGAAGGGGTTCCACGTGGTAGGAATTCAAGTGAATAGGACCTTGAGAAGTGCTCACAAATGGGCTCCAGCTTTCCCTCTCACAGACAGTCATCTACTGCTCCCTCCTGTTCAGCCGTCCATCCAATAATCATGGAACTGGTGCAGTTTGAAATCCACACCTGCAGGTTACATGTGAAGGTTGCTGGCTTTATTGTTTTAATTGAAGCCTGCCAGTAGACACCTTGAAGAATGGTAAAAATTATCTGGGCACAGGGAGACTCACACAGTTCGTCTCTGTGGCTATCAAGGCGGGAGGGGAATCTGGGTTATTCTATGCTTGTTTTTAGTGGACAGCAAAAAAGCAATTTGAATCTTCATGTTGGAAAGTAGTGGCTTCTATTCTGAAGGGAGATTTTAATATCGAAGAATGTCTAAGCTTCACTGAGGTCAGTACTGAAGGAGTTCAGCAAGAGGAAACCTCTGATGGTTCAGAGTGTGGGAGAGTAAAAGCCAGGGTTGCCCCGGGGGTAATGCAGGGTATGGTATGTGTCCACTTAAGTCTGAGTAAGTGTTTGTGACAGGCCAGTACAAGATATTTGATTCCCTGTGGTCCTGCCCCTTAATCCAATCTCTGTGAGGATAGAGTGGTATTTTCCATTTATCTCTGTGAACCTTTAATAAAGACTAAGATAAGAATACTGCAGTCCAGGCCTTTGTCAGTATTGCCTGTTTCCCCACTGAGGGGTGAGTTCATGACATCTTATCAGTTCATGGAAATTGTGAGGGGACTTAGATGATATCTATGATGTTTTCCAGACCCACAGAGCTTTTGTGAGGGCCAGTTTGTTCCTGAAACATCAAATCCTGAAGATGAGAAGTGCTGGCTGCATCTGAGGTGCCTGTCCTGTGCTCAGGTCATCAGTCTGTTTCTCCTGATGACTCAAGCTCAGAGCTGAAAGCTGGGACCTCGCACTTGCTCAGTCTGCACTCCTCTTCTGAGTTATAGACGAGCCTCAATGAGTTCCTTTAGGGAACATGCGACAGATCATCTTATCAGTAATTTCAAAACAGTGCAAAAGCAGCAACTCTTTTTAAACTTCTTAAATTTCTTCTTTTTTATTTATGTGGTATTGGGTCACAGTGACATACAAAAGTGCATATAGCCTATGTGCAAATGTCTCAGTAACTCTCACAGCTGAACCCACCTGTGCAACCAGAATCTTCCTTGAGCCCAGTGGTGCCTGCTAAGGGAAGAGTTCCATCTGTGGAGATGACGAGAGCAGTTGGTACTGACCAGTTTGCTCAGGGTGCTGGTAGCACACAAACTGAACAAACACATGGGCAGTGCTTCTTTCATTGCCAATCTATTCAGTTCATTAAGCTAGGGAAATACAAACACTATATCTAATCCATGACTGCATAGGGCCAGCTTAATACAAGTACTTAAAATGTAAAAGGCCGATACAATAAAATTTAATCATAGAGTAGATGACACCGAAATCTGGTGTGCCCCCAAATCGACGAAGTTCCAGATACAGTGGTATAGGCTATTCTAGGAGAGGGCTGTGGGCAGCTATGGGGTGGAGCAGAATAGTGCAACACGGGAAGAAGAAAAGAAATGTAAGACAAAGGGCTGTCAGCAATGGTTTTGGAATGATGGACTTCCTACTTTGGGAGAGGGAGAGTTAGAATGAAAAGCTGAGTTCCCCATCGAATCACTTATATCAAAATATATTCTAGATGGGTATCAGGGTAAAAAAAATACTAAATTATGAAAGTGTGAGAATATATATATATATATATATATATATATATATATATCTACACACATATGGGGAGAGAGGGATCTTGGAATATGAAAATCTTTCTAAGAATTGCTTTAAAAAAAGAAAGTTAAAAAGCTCAAAGAAATTTTGATGAAATTGTCTAAAAACATACATCTTCTGGCCTGGCAAGAATGACTCAACAGGTACATACTGCCAAGTGTGATGATCTACCTGGGTTTAAGCCCTAGGACTCCATAGCGGGAGGAGAGAACCAACTCGAGTGAATTTTCCTCTGATTTCCAAAATTGGACTGGTGCATTTGCGTACACGGGCGCACGGCACACACACACACACACACACACACACACACACACACACACACAACTTCAGGTGGAAAAAATGTTATAGTCCTAACAAGATCAAAATGAAGAAAAATACTTGGGATATGTACATTTTCAACACACAGAGTTCTTGCAAACCATTTGAAAAACAACCAAGGAAGAAAACTGGAAAAATATGAACATATTGCTAGGAAAATGGTATATATGTACTCAATGTGTTTATGTCTGTGCTCCTGTAAACAACCCTAATGGCACTGGGTTACAAAAAAGAAAAAATGGACAGGAGTTAGTAGGGAAGAGGACAGGATCCGTGGGAGAGGAACAGGAACAAGAAGGAGTAATGGGGAGGGTTGGACATGACTGAATTACATTATGCACGTGTATGAAAATGTCATAATGAAACCCTCTGTCATATATAACTAATGTATGCTAATAAATCACTTTTAAAAAAGCATGGCAGAGGCTGGGAGTTGGTGGTGCACACCTTTAATCCTAGCACTTGGGAGGCAGAGTCCGGTGGATCTCTGTGAGTTCAAGGCCAGCCTGGTCTCCAGAGCTCCAAAGCTACACAGAGAAACCCTGTCTCGAAAAACCAAAAATAAATAAATAAATAAATAAATAAATAAATAAATAAAATAAAAATGGGAAAACAACACTATGAGTTACAGATGACATTATAGTTAATGTCTTATAATTGGTATGAGAAGTCCTTCCCAAAACAGAGGGCAATGCAAACAAGAAAAGACCAACAGTCCTGACAACATAAAAGTTAAAGCCTGGGCTTCCGTTTCTAGCCTCATCTCTTTCTTCTTTCTTCCAGGGCCAGTATCACCCCTGCAAACAGTGGACATAGCTAAAATCCACAAGGCTAAGGCTTTCTTCAAGAAATATGGCCCATGAAGTGACACAATGCAAGAAGGGCAAGCATTGTGTCTGCCCAGGGGGAGTGGTGCTATGGCAGGAAGCAGAGTGGCTGCCTATTTTCTGTGTGAGGCTGGAGTGTGTTGAGCCCAACTACAACTTTAAGAGAAGCTGGCTATGAAAAGAGATGAGCATTTTGAACTGGGAGGTGATGAACGGGGGGAAAAGGGGTCAAGCAATTCAATTCTAAGCTCATTTTGTTATGAAGACAGCAAAATCATGAGGTTATAGTCAAACACATAAAAACTGAGGAGGTAGAGAAAGAGGAGGCCAAAAGAGTGTAAGAGCCAGAGGGGATGAGGGACACCAAGAAAACATGGCCCTCTAAATCAAGACCAATACACATATGAACTCACAGAGACTGAGGCACACGCACAGAACCTACAGGGATCTGCCCCAGTAGGGGTCCTGGAGCTGAAAGGAGAAGTGGACACATGTCCCATGGCTGACCCAGACGTAATCTCCAATTGATAATCCCTCACAATTGAAATTTTAATTTCTTCCAAAGGAGTCTCACAGGTAAACAAACTACTCTAAAGGGTAGGCTGCATGGCCAGCAGTAGGTGGCCAACTGAAGAAGAACTCAACGGCATCTTTGGAGGTAACTTACCTCATAATGTGTCAGGGCTCTTGCTTTAAATTTTATTTTAGTTATATATTAATTTTCCCCTCTCTTTTTACCTTATAAGTCCTATGCATGTATGTCATGTCTTGCAGCTTAGTGTTTTTATGGAATTCCTGAGCAAGTAAATGAGTGGGTCTCTTTTTCCTGAGCTTTCTCTTGGCCTCTTTTCTGTTTGTTTTGTTCAGTTCTGATGTGTGAGTTTTTCTTCATCTCATTTTATTACTATCCCTTAGAAGTCAGGTTTCTTTCTTTCTTTTTTTTTCTAAACGAGACACAGAAAGGAAGTTGGTCTGGATAGGAGGGAAGATGGGGAGAAGCTGGGAGGAGTAGAGGGAGAAGAAACTCTAATCGGGATATTTTATCTGAGAAAAGAATAAAAGGACAAAATTGGGGGCAGACACTCTACTATGAAAGTGTACATCACCTTTGTAATTAAATAAACAGATGAAAAACAGAGGCAGTTAGTGGTGGCCTCGGCCACATGCATCCCTGTGACCAGCATGGTTTAAGATAGTATAGTTGAGTTCTCACTGTGTCTGCCTCAAAGATGGGGAACGTGAAGCATGGAGAACTATCAGGTTTTAAGATGGTCTCAGGTCCACACTGAACTCCCTGGTCTGTAATGCTGCCCTTCACTCCTAATGGCCTTCCTATATCCAACTACTTCCCCTTTGAGAGCCCCTCCCTAAGAAAGACCTTCCCAGACCATTCCTTCTACACTTCTCGTCAGCTCCCTGAACCGTTTGGAGGGGTTTCCTTTCTATACTGCCACAGCACCATGGACTTAATCACACCAAAGACACATAAGGCAACATGTGGTTTGAATGCCTCCACTTCTCACCTTCACCATGCCTAGACCACTTGGTCCATAAAACACAGTACTCAAACATTTCTACTTACAAAACAAGATGTAGAAACATGTCCTCGTGCTTTAGAGATGTCTGGAAAGGGCTTATGTATAAAATACCAGAATGTAGTTACCTTAAAATACTTCAATAGATGAGAAATGCAGCAGGTAGCATCAACCTCGTTAGCGTGTTGGAGGTCTGTGTAGATCTCAATGAATATCAACCCTCCTCTTCTGCCACATCTGGGCTCAGTACACTTGTTTATTGCTTTCCTGTGCCCCCCTACACACACAGTTATTTGTGCCATCCAGCTCTCAGACTCTGCTTTCTTCCATGTGGAAATCACCTTCCCTGTACATGGGAGAACTCATCCTTGTCAATAAGGTCACATTGGTATAAACTGTTCTCTCGGAAAATACATTTGTGGACCAGGGAAGGTCCATCTATGGGTGTGAAATATGCTGCCCTCATTTTCTCATTGCTTTATCCTCAAATCCCTGGGAATCATTCCAAGCAAATTTTTGTACATGTCATTTCCTTGGGTGATGCATTTGCAGAAGACACAGACTTGGCATCTCTGGCCACTCCCTGCTTTCCTTCAGCCTCGGAGACTACTGTCAGATGCCTGGAACTCCCTGGTCTATCTCATGAGACTACAATTCATGCCTATTAAACCATGGGAGTCTTCCAGTTGCCTTTGTAAGTCCCCCCATGAGATCTTCAGTGCCACTGCAAGGTACTATGGGAGCTGCGAGGAACATTTTAGTGTAAAGTGTGCTGTTATCTCTACTAGCAAGGATGCAATAGTGCCTGCCTTGGCCTCCCCCTCCCATCCAACATCCCCAGCCTGCTGTCTTTCCTGCTTCTTCAAACAAACAAACAAACAAATACCTGTACATGCAGTCCATCCATTAAAATAAATGAACCCCACCAAGCCCTTCATTAATCATAGTTTTCTCTGTCCATCTCTGCTTCCTCCTCCTCTTCCCTCTGCTTCCATTGTCTAAAGCCAAGAAGTAGATATGACCTAATAAGAAATTGGAATATGGAGACAAGAAGGCCTAGGTTTGAGATTTGGTCCTGCCACTGTGCAAATCACTCAGCATCCGAGGGCCTAAATTTTCAAATTAGCAGGCCATTGCTTTGTCTCAGGCTACATGAGCTTCTACAGGTCAATGAATGTTCAATGTATATGCTAGCAAATAGTGCCCCAAACTCTTTGTTGTTGTTGTTTTGTTTTTTGAGACAGGGTTTCTCTGTGGCTTTGGAGGCTGTCCTGGAACTAGCTCTTGTAGACCAGGCTGATCTCTAAATCACAGAGATCAACCTGCTTCTGCCTCCCGAGTGCTAGGACTAAAGACGTGCACCACCACCGCCTGCTTTTTGCCCCAAACTCTTTATAAGCTACAGGGTGAGGTGGAAGTGTGAGTGACCCCTTTGTTCCACACTGAACACTCCCACGGTCTTTTCTACCCAAGTTCTACAATGACCAGCAACCATTGCCCATAATAATAGGGTTTCAGTCATTCTCAAATCTCAGCAAGACTTTCTGAACAGCCCCTAACATGGATTCAAACTGGCAACCAACAGAAGACATCAGATTATCTTCAAACATTGGAAAAGGAAACAACATACTGATAACCTACAAGTCAAGGGCAAATTCTCAAAGGGGAGGAAGAAGGCAGGAAAGGAAAACTAATAACAGGGCACATCTGACATGGTGCTGAGTGGGGAAATTCACAGATGTAAACACATTAGAAATGAAGAAAGGAAATCCAGACTCTTGAGTTTGTACCCCATGAAAAGCAAAATACCTCTGAAGGAAGCAGAGAGTCAGAGCTACAAATAATGACAGGAACCAGTGAAAACATGAACATTAACAAGGGGCGTGTGTGTGTGTGTGTGTGTGTGTGTGCGTGCCTGAGAGTGCACTAATGAGTGTGTGTACACACGTGATTTTTTTTTTTTGTCAACTTGACACAAACCTAACCATATACAGAAGGAGATCTCAACCGAGAAATTTCCTCCAACAGATCTATCTGTGCACATGTGTGGGGGGCATTTTCTTGGTTGTTGATTGATGAGGGAGGGCCCTGAACACCGTGGACAATGCCATCTGTGGGCAGATGGGCCTGGACCGTATAAGAAAACAAGCCAGGGCAAGCAAGCCAGAAGACAGCCTTCCTCCATAATTCCTTCTTCAGTTCCTGCCTCCAGGTTTCTGCCTTGGCTTCCCTTGATGATGGACCTGTAAGCTAAGTAAAACCTTTCCTTGACCATGTTGCTTTCGGTTAGGGTTTTTATCACAGCAGCAGAAACTAGACTAGGAAACAATATATGGTGAAACTAAGAGTTGATTCTTCCAAAATATAGATAAAATTGAATAAACCTTTCAAATCACCACCATCACTGTGTGTGATAGTAGAACTGTCATATGATAAAACTGCACACAGCTGAAGGTTGGATCCAAGGCAAGTGGAGAAATCTGACCAATATCATCTCCCAATAGCAATATCCTAGTTGTGACATTATGCTATAGTTTTGCATAATGAAGCCAGTGAGGGAAATGGAGTAAAGAATGTGCAGGATATCTGTTATTTCTTATAGGTGCAGATGATATACACTTACAACAGAATTTAAAATCCACTTTAAAAAACTGAAGAAGGCCTGAGGGATGGGTCAGTAGGGAAAGCACTTGCCACTGAGGTCTGAATGCTGAGTTCAAGCCCTGGAACCACATAAAGGTGAAAGGGGAGAATCCACTCTCCAAAGTTGTTCTCTGATTTCTACACATATATTGTGGCAGGTGTGCACACACACCAGTGCACGTAAAGTGATAATAATAGATAAATTCAATCTAACAATGAAGAGCCAGGCATTAGGTAGTGCTCACCAGCAATCCCGGCACTCAGGAAAGCAGAGAGTTCAAAAGCAACCTGGGCTACATAGACCCTGTCTCAAAAAAATTTTTTTAAGGGTAACCAAGTTATGTCATGATTAGCTAAGCAGTTGTTTGGTGGCTGCTCTTGTAGTTTTGTCCACCTGGCAGATTCACTGGTG